TTTTTTTTTTTTTTTTGGGGGGGGGGGGGAGGGGAGAACAGCTATGGTCACGTGTCTAGTGTTAATCTCAAACCCCTTTAATTTGTTTTACGTATTGAGGAGTATAGAAGGAACCTGTACCTGTGTCAGTGTTTTATTATTTTGTGCTAATCTTTGTTGCTGTTGCAGTTTGATTGCATGTTATTGTCACTTGTTGCTATTTGTCATATGTTGCTGTTATAAGACCATGTTGCTTGTTGGAGTGTGGCCTCTGTGTAAGTGTATTTTGCAGGCAAGTGTGTGCTCAGAATTTGTAAAGCAGAGAAAGACTCGGGAGAGTAAAACGTGGATCAATAGTCCGCAGGGTGCACAGCAAGTCAAAGTGATTTCTCATGCTTGTGCATGCACCCCATTCAAATTCTTAATGCTACAGGCTGTAGAGAGAAGTATTTTCAAACTGTCAATATGCTATGTTTTATTCTAATCTGTTTTTTTGGCTGTCAAGACTCTAACCAGTGTTGCAGTATCTCAAATTAGTTCATGTACATTGTTATGTGATATAATCATTGTTTGCCAAATAATGTTTATGGATGTTTATCTTGTTTCAAAAATGTTAAAACTTCTTGATGTTACATGACTCTATTCATATTTACAAGAGATTATTGTTCTTTCTTGCTATTTATATGAATATTTCAACAAGACAGACTTTAATCTGGACTTATTTATTAATATAATTATATTTTCGTATTTATTGTTGGCTTAAGTATTTACCAACATTATTGCCTGAAGTTACTTAAGATAAGTTTCTTTGATGTTGTTACTATATTTTTTATTTTTTCATCAGTTTCAAAAATAAAAGTCAATAAAGAAGCATTCAGATAATTGCAAGGGTTAGTAAATTGGTGTATAACTTTTTTCAATTCTGGCCTAGTCTGTTCAGATAGTGGGGAGGTCATTCCTTAGGGGAAGGGGTACTGTGGAGTTTAACAGTGTGGGACAAACACAGACTGTAGACCTGCAGACTGGCAAGGCAACTGAGGTAAACATTATTATGAAATGCTTTAACAGATTTCCTATCCCATACCTTTAAGTCTAGTTTAGGGATAGGGAATCTGTTAAAGCATTTCACAACAATGTTTGCCTCATTTACCTCACCAGTCTGCAAGTCTACAGTGTGGGGAGGATTGAACGTTATTTTTTTCCGGTTTGAAATCTTCCATTCTGGTTTTTTTTTTTGGTTGGAATATTTTCCGTTTGTATGATGGATGTTATGTTGTAACATTCAATCCTTTATGGAAAATTTTGAGCTTCAGAAATTCAGCATGGGATTTTTGGGGAGTTAATTTTTGGTCCAGGTATGCTTTTTGATTTCACTGGAATAATTGGATGCCATGGAGATTTGTTGAAGTTTTGATATTTGCCCCCTTTCAATCCTCCCTGTCACTTTAACCATGGGGTACCACCGCGGTCAAACGTCTAAATCGTTATTTTTGTTTTTTATTGCTGGGATTTCATTTACCAGTTAGAGAAAAATGGGCAAAGATGTATAAATCAGTTAGTCAACATAACTATCTTTCCATTTTTCTCAAAATTTTGAGCTTTTTTTGCTGAAAACGCTTTGCGCTAAAAGAGAATCATGTTTCAAAATGGCGCTGATAATAACGTCAGCATCGATTTTCAATCACTTAGAACTTTTTTAGTAAACTTTTACAAAGTTTAGTAAACTAACAGGATGTTGGTAATGCCCTAAACTTTCGATAGTGAAAGTAGGAACCTTAACTTTGAAGTATTTCGCTTAACTTTTGCAAATTTCACTCGTTTGACCGCTGTGAACCATGGGGTACCCCTCCACCTCCACCCCTCCCCCCCCCTTCTGGTCCACCGGAGTCATTCATAAGGTAATTAGCATAATAAAATATCATTGGGAGTGTGGAGCTCTCCATAACCTGTTTTCAAACCGAGGGGGACAGGTACGGCTACATATTATGGGATAAAGAACACAAGGTCTGCATAGCCAGAAAGAACACACCGTGCATTACAAAATCCCCAAGTTTGTTTTTAATCAGGCAAATATAGAAGTACCCAGTCCCTCTCGGTTTGAATTTGGCAATGTATGTAAAATGGAGATTGAGCTTAGGAGCAAAAGATAATGAAACGGCTATCTGACTGGATAGCAACTGGCAAAGTCTAGCCCAAATGCAGAATTATGACCATTTCAACAAAGGCTGCTGGCTGTACTTTTAGTCACCTTCGATCAGGCTGAAAATTCAATTCTCACTGAGGTCATATGATCATATGCATTTCTGTGACGTATCCGAGACTCAAAAACTCGCTTGGACCACGTGACCCGAAACGCATCGGCGGCGCGCAATAATGAGGCCTAGGGACTAGGCAAGGTTTGTACAACTTCGTAAGGGCTTCTAGCAGGAACTGATTACTTAAGTAATCGGTTCCTGGTCCTAGGAGGGCTTATAACCAGACTAAAAAAAATGTTTCCAAACAAGCTTCATTGCAGTGCTGATCAAAATACTTTTTGAATTTGATCGCTTTTTTAAGCTTTAAAACGTCGTAAAAAGTCGAATTCATTTCAGTATTAGCTAGAGGGGGGCTTACATTTGGGGGAAGAGCTTATAAACGGATGTATTTTTTTTGTGTGTGTACGGGTAGATGGGCCTATAAATTGTGGGGTGGGGGGCTTATAAGCGGAAGTTGACAGTAGCCAAATAAGGGAGAGAGACTTGGCCCATGGTGGCAAGTCTCCCGGTAACTGATAATTCCACAGCCTCTAGATGATTGTACCGTCGGTTGCATCTGAAGCGTGTACACCTGACAAAAAAATATGTTCTAATTGGGTGAAACAATGACATGTTTTGCTGCCAAACTGTTGAAGTTTGAGGTAGCGTTAGACGAATGATCACGTGCAAACTCTAACCCTCACTCCATTACCCTCACCCTCACCCTATCTATTTTTCTCGGAAAGATAGTCGTGGTGCCCCACCCCAGGGGGAGAGGTACTGACCCTTAATGTAGGAAGCAACTTTGCCAGGACTCCGGCTATTACCTCTAACTAGCTTTGCAGGAAATAAGACCAAAAAATTTAAACTTATTTTGTAAAATGTATCTGAGCACTAAATGATATTATTTCCCTTAGGGAGAGTTACGCGGGCGTAGCCATTTCCCCTCCTTTTTTTTTTTTTTTTTTTTTTTTTTTATTCCCCCTATAATTTTTCCTAAACCCCAATTCCCCTACATTTTCTTTCCTTCCAAAGTGAACAGGGTTTTTTATGGTACAAAGGGGTGGAATTTTAATAACAATGGGGTAGCCGGGTTTTAGG